TATTATTATGCAATCAAGTCCTTTTTTGCACAAAAAATGAAAACCATGTAAAATCTCATAAAATTCATTTAAATATCAATAATATCAAGATAAAATTTTCACATTCATATCTATATGAATTTGGCTAATCAAATTTCCCCAAACTTAAATTTTACTCGTCCTCGAGTAAAATAAAAAAAACAAATAAAAAAAAACAACTAAACAAAAAGAAAATAAAACCAAACTCACTTTCATAGGAATTACGATTGTACTTAACATGTGCAACAAGCCTTTAACCCTTAGGTCACCCTAATGGACAAGTTGTGTCCTGTGAGGGTTTTCAACGAATCTACCTACAAAATCCCAATGTAAGAAAGCAACTATATGATATGTATGCAAAGAAAATTTAGGAATTAAAGTTTAATTAGATGCAAAGTCTCAAATATTCAAGAGTTTTCATATACTCACTTAAGGTCAAATACTCATCCTATTCTTCACATCACTTATTAAAAGATTTAGCCCATGAGCATTTAGTGTGTGTGGAAATTTTTTAGTAAGAAGTCTCAAGTTTAGACATTCACACCTTAGCACTTATTACTATTTTTTTCTATTTCTCCCCTCTTAAAAACTTGATTTTAGTGCAACAATGAAAAATTAAGAAGAAAAGGTAAACACTTTACCCTTGGAGATTGAAGGACAACTTGGAGAAGTGGAAATTATGCCTATAGAAACTAAACAAGAAGATGTCCCTAAGGAAGAAAAGGAAAAAGATCAAGTGTCATTTGAAGTGTTCAATGGGGAGTCTCCTTTAACCAAATCTGATTTTAATGATTATTTTGTTATTGATATGATTGATGAGATTTTGCAGGAAAACACTTATAAGAATCCATTTGAGATTTATCTTATTCAAGCAAAAGACCCAATCAAAGAATATATAAATTGCTTGAACCCATCCTCATTTTCCTTGGAATCAAAAGGGGCAATCCTAGAAGAATTGGGAAGGCACATCTCTTGGCTTAAACCCAAACCACCTCAGAATAATCATTGGAGAAAATCTTATGGTGGATTCAACTTAAGGACAAGAAAGCCAAGATTTAAGAAAAGAAGAGGACATGCCCTATGACCTGGTCCAAAACCACCTTGGAGTGGTAGAAAGCCTAACTAATGACTACAAATTAAGCGTTTCTTAAGAGGCAGCCCAAGCATAAAATTTTCTTTTCTTTTATTTCTTTGTTTTTTATTTTAATAGTTTAGACTTTTTATTTTTTATTTTTTATCTTAACGGCCCAAGTTAATGCATAAATGGTTGTTCTTTGATTTTGGCCAAGTCATTGAACAAGTTTGGGGGACAAGATTATGGAAATTCACATGCTAAAAGTCTCCTCTAAATGAAGACAACTCAACTTTAGAACTTAAATTTTAAGTTTTGAAGTGCAAAACTTGGGAAGTTTCTCTTTTCCCTTACTTTTATTTTACATTGAGGACAATGTTTGATTTAAGTTTGGGGGAGAGAATAACTTTTAGGTGTCCATTCTTACATTAGTTTGCATTCATATTTGCATGACATACATTTTTTTCTTTTTTTTAGAAATTAGGGTATTTTTTTAGGAGTTGGTCCAATTAGTGTCAAGGAATTGGATATTCTTCAGTTGAAAATTCAAAAATTTTTAAAATCTTTGAATTTTAGAGGAAATACAATATCTGAAAAATAGCATCATTGTGATGAAGTTTAAGTTCATGAGTATTCTATTTTACTTGAACATAATTCTAGTTGCTTAGTAGCTGGGGGTTAGGCATGAGACCCATGTCTACTTTCACGTCAAACAGCGACTTGAAATATGAGCATGCAAAGCACTTTGAGTTTATGACTTGTTGAGTAATCGGGTGCTTTCATCATAAATGTTAGTATTCACATTAAAAGACAAGTGATAGCTTAGGGTAGAATGTGTTATATGGCTGAAAAAAAAAAGAAAAAAGAAAAAAGAAAAAAAGAGAAGTCGAATGTTTCGTGGCCTTTGTTGCTTGAGTAAGTATGTTCTTAGGGGTGCCTCTTCACCTAATGCCCTAAAGCCAACTAATTTGGGAGTCATTGATAAAAAACTCGTTACATGAGTAACTTAAAAAGCTTAAGAAAACTTGACATGTGAAAAAAAAAAAAAAGAGGGGAGAAATAGTAAAAAAATAGTAATAAGTGCTAAGGTATGAAGGCCTAAACTTGAGACTTCTTACTAAAAGATTTCCACACACACACTAAATGCTCATGGGCTAAATCTTTTAACAAGTGGTGTGAAGAATAGGATGAGTATTTGACTTTAAGTGAGTATATGAAAACTCTTGAATATTTGAGACTTTGCATCTAATTAAACTTTAATTCCTAAATTTTCTTTGCATGCACATTATATAGTTGCATTTTTGCATTGGGATTTTGTATGTAGATCCGCTGAAAACCCTCACGAGACACAACTCGTCTACTATGGTAACTTAGGGGTTTAAAGGCTTATTGCACATGCTAAGTGCAATTGTGATTCCTACAAAAGTGAGTTAGGTTTTATTTTCTTTTTGTTTATTTGTTTTTTTTATTTTACTTGAGGACGAGTAAAACTTAAGTTTGGAGGAATTTGATGAGCTAAATTCATATAGATATTAATGTGAAATTTTAATATTAATATTATTGATATTTAGATGAATTTTATGAGATTTTATATGATTTTCATTCTTTGAGCAGAAAAGAACTTCATTGCATAATAATAGGAGTTTTTGGGATTAATTGAATTTTTTTTGAAAGTTGAGAGACTTAATTGCAAGAAGAAAGGTGCTTCTTTGGGACCTAAATGAATGAATCTCAAGTTTCAAGATCTAGGTTCTTATCATATAAAATCTGGAGGATCATATCTGCAATTTTACCACTGAAGAAGTTGCTGAGAATGCCAAAAACCCGACACGGTGTTGCTGGTGTGCGCTGAACAGAAGGTGTCAGCACCTTTTTGAAGGTGTTGACCCCTTACGCGATTTTCATAAAATCCACGTTTAATTTATTATTATAAGTGTGGGCCTCACTTCTATTCAAATTAAGATTTCTAAAATTTTATAAATACCCATTCAAATTCAAAATTAAAAGAAAGGTTGGTGGCAGCCTTCTTTTAACATTCTTGAAAATCAATATAGATGATTCATCAATAACAAAAGATTAAGAAATTCAAGTTTCTCAAATTGGATTTTATTTTTTTTTTAGATTCTTTTTATCTATCATTTGATATTCGAATGTTCATGATTATAATTTTAAATTTTATTATTTTTATTATGAACTAATTTATTTTACTAAGGCTATGATGTAGTATAATCAATTTAATATAAATTTTGTGATTTTTATACTTTCAATTAAAGTTATTTGCACATAGAGTTTATATTATTGAAGTTAATGCATTGAAAGCATGATCACCTTTTAATTGATTCAGTAATTTATATATGAATTTAAGAAAGAATTGTGTAAATTAAACCAACAATAATATAAACCGTGTGTTAGACTATGAGACTGACAGGTAATTAACTCATATGTGATAGTAAAGGAAGAGAAGAGAGTTAGGAGCTACCCCTTCTTAAACTAGAGGTTTCAATAGAATTTAATACTCATTCATTGGCTTAAAATTACATAGAGATATGATTAATTTGGTAAACAAGTGAATGATTAGCTTAACTTGAGAAAACTAGTTAATTAATTTAAGGAAATTTACCATCACATACAATAACACTTAACAATTTAGTAATCCAGAATTTATATTGATTGATTATGGTGAAGTCAATGCTTTAATACTTCATATGTTAGTTAGTTTTATTTTAAGTATTAGTTTCTTTTTGTTATTTTAATTAAAATTTCCTCTTTTCAATTGTTCAAATAAATTTAAATTAATTATTTAAATACTTAATTAAACACAATTCTCGTGGGTTCAGTACTCTTCTCATCATTATATTATTTGGAGCGACTAGTACACTTGTTAGGGTGTACACTTGTTAGGGTGTACACTTGTTAGGGTGTACACTTGTTAGGGTGATTTTAGTGTATCATCAGGGAATGACTATTATGTCAAATACTCTCCCTAGAAACATTAGCGTCTCAAGCTAAAAGGCCAACTATTCAAAGTGCATAAAACCATAACTTTTGACTTGATTACTCAAGAAAGAAAGAGAAGAAAGTTACAATAATAGACACCTTGTCAAAAATGACAATAAGTGAAGAATATTTGCAGAAATATCGCAAAGTCTGTAAAATGGCGTATTCAATGAGGACTACCAAGAATTGCTATTCTATAGATGCATGGATTTATCCCAAAATTAATTTTATGCAAGGTGCAAACCCAAAAGCAATAAGAGAATTATTCCATTATGGCTTTGTAAATTGTATCTATCTCTCAATAAATAATGAGGTGGTTTTAGAACTTTCAGACATTATATGCCAAGGAGTAAAAGACTACAAGACTGGCACGAAAGCTCAAGGAGTAGTATTTTACTCTAGACTTTCAATAGAATGATAGACATGAGGAAGACATGGACTTATGACTTCTCCAATGAAATTTCAGTGGTGTCCACTAGAGTAAGACTAATGACAAGCATCAAACTATTTAAAATAAAGCAGAAAAGAAACGAAATCTTTAAAAACCTAGTCCCAACCAATAAAGCTATTCATAATAAATTATGCAAGCTGTTAATGCACAACAATCACTTTTGTTTTTACTACGAAAAAGAATTTGTAAAAGGAAAAGAAGTAGCATGTGACGAAGGGACCACTCCCTCAAATAGTGAAGAGAATCTCATCATCCTCTGAAGAATCCAACACAAAAAGACGTAAGCTCTTACATCACTAAAGAGAAAGAAGAGTGTCGGCAAGATTCTATGTAATCTACTTTAACAAAAGTAAGAAGTAAGTTAGGATCACTAGACAATAATGTAAACTTTTAGACGTCAACAATGACAAAAGAAAAGATTTCAAGTAGCACTATAAAAGGCCTCATATAAGTTGTAACAAGTATCGAACATTTAAATACCCAAATACCTTACTTGAGAACCTCCCACTATGTATCTGTAAACATCTTTCAAGAGGAAAGGAAAATTTCCCTTTCTCTTCTTAGAAATAAAACCATGTTTTAGAATAATTCCTATGTTTCTATCTTTCTTGATTTCCATCATAAAAACAATGAGAAGAATCCTTGAAGAAACTTAGGCAGCAACAAGCTCACTTGTCCTATCCAAATACTTATGATAGCCAGAGCCAAAGTGAGTCATTGAGGGTTGGACGAAGGAAGCATCAACTTGACCAAAGATTAGACTAAAAGATTTTGAGGTATAATTCTAATTTATTCATTTTATCATACAGAAACTAGGTGGGCATAACAACAATTTTATTATTCTTTGACATTATTATTCTTGAGATTAGAAATAATAAGGAAACAATACCTAACCCCTTATATTTCAGATAAAAAAAGTCTATTTCAAAAGCCTACTTGTAATATTTTTGGATGTTTGACTTTATTTGAGAAATCATTTTAGATAAAAAAAAAAAAAGAAGAAGAAGAAGTTTGAGTAGCAATGCGAATATTACATAAATAAAATAGTAGAAATTAAAATAAAAGTAATATTGAAGATTTAAATGACAATTATCTCTTCCAAAATCTTAAAAGATTAAAGCTAACTATAGCAGATTTAAACGAAGATTTAAAAAGATTAAAGGAGGCAAAGCAAAAAATATCTTTGTTAGAGCAGCCTAATAGATCTCATTTCATATTTACTGAGCTTAATATACCAGCTACATATTAATTTGTAGTTTGAGTTAGGCTCCAAAAAGCCCCCAAAAAATTTGGTTTTGGAGCCATAAAAGAATTAAATTATAATGATGTTAAGAGTGTATTTAAGAAGAGAAGTTAGATTTTCTGAACAACCAACATATATAATCTAAAAGATTATAGAAATGGAAGGGATGATTCCCTATAGAACTGATGAATTATTATATGATAGATATATTTTTGAAGTAAGAAAAGTGATAGCTCCAGAAGAATTAAAAATCTTTGAAGATAAAATAAAAATTAGTTTTATGACAAATTTAAGTTTAAGGGCTAAAGTGTCAACCCAGCAAAAGATGAATATGGAAGGTAACAATTAGTGAAAAGTTTGGCCAAAGGTAAAAACCCTTGGATTCAATAACTTAAATGGTATATAACCCGGACTTATAAATTAGAGAGCAAAAACCCTTAGACTCGAAAAGTTGAAGGGCAAAACAGAGATATTTGCCAAAATTACCAAAACGTAACTCAAAACTCAAGTCCCTTATCAGCAACTGCTGCACCTCTCTCTTCTAAAGTTCTCGGATTCCATCTTTCCCTAACTCCAATTTCTTATCAACCGGTAAAGTTCTTAATTTCATGTTGCTAATATGTTTTCCCACGATTTCTTTTGTATCTTCATTTTTCGACTAAACCCGCAACTAGGCAGCCATCTTTTATCAAATTTCTAGCCCTAATTCTATCCGAATTTGTGCTGAAAATTCTGGTCTTGTCACACAAATTCTTAGCCATGATCTTGTCTTTAAAGTGACAATTTTGGACTACTAGAACATTCAACTAAGAGTCATGGATCTGAACTTCCAAACCCTGCTGTTATATGCTTGTTATTTTAAATGTTGTTATGTTAATTTTGTTACAAAAAACTAGTTACAAGTTGTCTATACCACTTCTCAGTTCATCCTTTATTAAGCCTCGATTTTTCTAACTGTTTCCATACCAGAAAGTATGTGTTTCTGTAATTTAAATATGCACTGCTCATGGCATTTTCACACTTACAATCATGCTCAATACAACCTTAATAGGCTAGAATTTCACTTGTAAGTAGCTACTATTTTTCCACTTTAAAACCTATTGTTTTGTTCTATTTTGTGGTTGCAAGTTTGCTCTACTATGCTCGGTTAAATCACAGAAAAACTATCATGTTTTAGTGTCATATTGCTTGAAAATTTTGCACAAAACAGTCCAAGTTTTTAATTTACATTCGGCTACTATTTTCTTCACTTTCCTACCTAGTTTTCACATTGTTTTTACTGTAGTCTTTGCCCAAAAAATTTCTACTGTTCAGGGTGTTTTTTAAACAATTTGGGACTGTTTAAATGGTAAAACCCCCACCTTGCTACCCAACTTGTTCTACTGCTATCTAAGGTAGTTTGGAATTCAGTTTCTCACTTTTTCCATACTCTGTTGCCTAGAAAATCTGTTCGGCATACTACTGTTCGGAGTAAGATTTGGAGCTATTTTAGGCATGTTTCAGCCTTCTTTAGCTACTGCAAAAATTCTTGTCACATGCCTCTATTTTCCCTCACAATTTGGTTCTTGGGCTTTGGCGTCCTTAACTACTACACTTGCTTGCTTAGACCTGAGGTAAGGAAATAAGATACATGGCTACTTGTTTTAACAAGAAAATATATTTTTATGTGAAATTTCCATTTTTGCCTTTTTAAATCTCTTTTACATATTTTGCCATTAAATCCCCATTTTTACCCTTTTTCTTTTACTTGAGTTGTGGATAAATTATCATTTCAATTTCTAAATCCTTATTTTGAGAAACACAAGTAATTAGTTGTAAAATTACATTTTCATCCTTGTCTTTACTAGTTTTTAATTAAACCATGATTATGCATGCTGGGTGGTTTAACCTTGATATGAGTATGCTTTCTCTTGATTTCTGAACACGATATTCTACTTTGAAACATGATAAAGAAAAGCTAGTTTTGTTTGCCAATGATGATCGTGTATCCTGTTATATGCCTGGTTGCCAATGGAGCTACGCATTGGCCATGTCGACATGTTATTATGCTTGTTATACACCAAAGCTACCCGATGTCCTGATATTCTTGTTTCATGCATAATCTATCGTGGCATACCTCCTATACTTGCTCCTGAAAATATATTTTTGCACATGATATTTTATACATGATGAATCTATTTTAAGTTCTAGTATTGAAATAAAGTTATGTGATTTAATTACATGTCTTCGTTAAATATTTGAGAGCTTGAACATGTCTGATATGCATAATTTGTCTTGAACTTATTTCCTTAATGAGTTGCGCTCACACCTGCAAGCAACATTTTTAGGTACCACCCAGAAATGGAACAACAAGAGACAAGGGGAGAGTTGTAACTAAATAGTTACTTTGTTTTTAGTTTAATAATTAAGTTTGAGATTATCATGGCTTGAGATTGGAGATTACTATAATTTTATTTTTGGCGTTAAACAAAATATAAAAATTAACTAATTATGATAAGTGTTATAACTCAAAATTTTTTTATTTAGTACTTATTTTAAAGTTTTCTATAAAATTTTAATGACCATTTTTTTGTGTATTATAATATATTTAATTTTTATGATGGGAGTTTATTCACGTAAAAAGGCACATGAAGAACCAAAGAAACGGAGAATGGATAAAGTTCCGACAAAGAAAAAAAAACGAAAAAAGAAAAAAAAAAGGGGGACGAAAAAAAAAAAGAAGAGAAAGACGGAAAAAGTGCGAAAAAAAAAAGGGAAAAAGACGCGAAACGAAAAAATAATAAAATAATAATTAAAAAAAAAAGAGAAAAACAGTAACAAAAAAAAAAAGAGAGAAAAAAGCATGAACGAGCCACTATATTGGGCTACAATTTTAACTCCTTTTTTTTATATAGGCATGTCTTGGCCCATTGTTTTTCTCATCAAGGCCCAACCGTAAAAACCATGCTCACGTTCTGTCCAAAATAAAACCCTAAAAACCGAAAGAAATGTCGGAAGAGGGGGCTCATTTTCTGGTTTCCGACGAAAACAAAAAAAAAAAAGCTTCAAGATCCTTCTCGCCTCTCCATTGACGGAACCAGAGGGAGTCTTCATCTTTTTCGAGGTTTTCAGCAATCGCACACCTTTCTCAGGAGCTCCATTACATCATCGTCTCTCTTTCCGATCACCCTCTTCGGTCTGTTCACGTCATCTCCATCGGCACCTAACACTCGCCATTTCCAGCAGACGTGAATATCAGTAGCCACGTCATCTCCTCTTTCGGCTTCTCCCCTGCCTGTCACAGATTCCTACTTACCAACCACCGGGGTGATTCCTCCACTGCAGGGATTGTTGGCACACTTCTCCGACTGTTTCTCACTCTCGTTCTTCTACTTCTAGGTATACTCGAGATTTTTGGGAAAGGTAGTGAGGGAGACGAACGGAGCCTGGTCCCGTGGGTGGGATCCCTCTCTTCTGATCCGGAGCTGCCTTTTCTTCAAAAATTCCGTCCCTGGTTGTTTGCATTTGTCGTCCTTTAAGTACCTTGATGATCGATGCTTGAACTTGTATGAGGTTGCAAAGAAATGAATGATTATTTAGTGAATTGATATATTGTTGCCTTATTTCAGTGATTGGTTGTGGAATCTGGAATTAGAATTATGCAGGGTGTTGAATCTTTGTTTGAAACTGAGTTTTTGGTTGAATAAGCCCTAATTTCTCTATTGGATTTTGTGAGATTTGATCTGTTTTTATCCATTTTCATAGATGGGTCATGTTTTTGGGTCAGGTCGACCCGAACCAGATCCAGTAGGTTTATGAACTAAAAAAACAAAAAAATAAAAACAAAAAAGGTAAAAAAATATAAATAAAATGATTATGGTGATTTGTTTAGTGTATGGTTAATGGAATTAATTGATTTTAATTAGAATTAATTAATTATATTTATTTATTGGTTTTAATTAAGGTAATTAAATTTGTTTGATTATCTTAATTAGAGACTAATGGATGCAATTAGTTAATTTTAATTAATCTTAATTAATCTTAATTAATCATTTAATTTAATTAAATTAATGATCATGATCAATTGATTTCAATTGTCTGTTTTTCTTAAAAAAGTCAAAATTGTCTTTTGTTGAATTTTAATTTCACCAGATAGTTATTTTGTCTGTAGTTTAATGATTAAGCTTGAGATTGGAGATTACTATGATTATATCTTTGGAGTTAAACAAAATATAAAAATTAGCTAAGTTTTGAGCCTTGTACATCTGTAGAGACCCTTTGCATGTGTGCGGCATCTGTACACCCTGGGTTCTGGGGCATTGCACCAAGTTTATTGAATCAGAATTGATTTCCTCTCCTCTACAATGGATGGTGAATTGTCTGTGGATTTCAATGCATTAGAGGATCTTATTCAGCCATTGTTGATTGCTGCAAATTCATCTACTCTGGAAGAAGCCCTAGAATCACTTATTGAAGTTTCCAGAACTTCTGTTGGCTGTGCAGACCTCCCTTCTAGAAAGATAATCCCTACAGTTCTTAAACTTGCTGAATCTTCTCATAATCCTTCAGGCCATCACCATCTCTCACTCTGTCTAAAGCTCCTCCGGAACCTGTGTGCGGGAGAAATTTCCAATCAGGATGCATTTATCAAATATAATGGAGTTAGGATTCTTTCCACTGTTTTGAGGTCTCTGGCATCTGTTTCTGATCCAGATTATGGGGTTATTCGTGCTGGTTTGCAAGTTCTAGCAAACGTTTCACTGGCCGGAGAAGAACACCAGCTGGTGATATGGAATAAGTTCTTCCCAGATGAATTTGTTGTTCTAGCAAGAGTGCAGAGTAGGAAGACTGTTGATCCTCTGTGCATGGTTATTTATGCTTGCTGTGATGAAAATCCTGAACTTGTTGCTAAGCTCTGCAGTGTCCCTGGTTTGCTCATCTTGGTAGAAATTGTGCATACTATTTTCACAGGTATGTTTAGATGAGTTTTTGTTATTGTTGTCATATTTGTTTATGTTTCTAAGCCCTCTTTTTCCCTTCTTGATTGTTTTCTTATCAGTTGGTTTTCAAGAAGATTGGTTCAAGTTACTGCTTTCAAGAATTTGCGTGGAAAATATTCTCTTCCCAGTGCTGTTCTTCACATTAGGCAAAGTTGGGGCATCTCAGGATAATGGAGAAGCTGGTTCAAGTTTTGATCCCTTCTCACCTGAACAAGCTTCTCTTCTGAGAGTGACATCTGAGATTGTAAATGAGCGAATTGAAGAGATTATAGTTCCTAACAACTTGGCATTGTGTGTTTTTGAGATATTTAAGAAATCAGCTGGGGTTGTTGATTTTTCCACTAGGGAAAAGTCTGGTCTTCCAACAGGCTCTACAGCCACTAATGTTCTTGGTTATTCACTCACCATTTTGAGAGATATCTGTGCTCAAGATGGTTCAAGAGACAGGAGGGAGGATTCAATGGATGCTGTTAGTATGCTGCTATCCTCTGGACTAATAGAACTTATGTTAAGTTTGCTACAAGACCTTGAGCCTCCACCAATTATAAGAAAAGCCATGAAACAGGTGGAGAACCAAGATGGAACAAGTTTGTCTTTACTGAAGCTCTGTCCTTATAGAGGATTTCGGAGAGACTTGGTTGCAGTAATTGGCAATTGTGCATACAGAAGGAAGCATGTACAAGATAAAATAAGACAGGAAAATGGCGTTCTACTGCTGGTGCAACAATGTGTTACGGATGAAGACAACCCATTTTTGAGGGAGTGGGGCATTTGGTCTGTGAGAAACTTGTTGGAAGGGAATGCAGAAAATCAACAAATGGTGGCTGATTTTGAGCTTCAAGGATCCATTGATGTGCCTGAACTAGCAAGACTGGGTTTAAGAGTTGAGGTTGATCAAGAAACTCGACGTGCAAAGCTTGTTAATGTTCCTGGAAAATGACCAACTGTTGAAGAATAATTTGACTTCTGCTTGAAGTATTTTGCTGGCTCAGGCGTAAATCATATTAGAGTTTCCCATTTCCTTCAAGATTTGTAATATAAATCATTGAGTAAAGCAATCTTTTTGGAATTTTTAAGTATTTAATTATTTCTTTAGTTTATTGAATACAGTCTGGAAATTCTTAAATTTCATCTTAGGATTTCTATAAATTCTAAAATTAACTCCAAGAAACTGCTATTGGACTTGCTCACGATGTTTTGTTCTTTTTGGCTTAGAATTAGAGCAAAGGTCAATCAAAAGAGGCAAAAGAACTGGAGCAGTCATTTTTAATCATGCTTTATATGTGCATATACGATATCACGTCTTTTTCTTTTTCAAGCTTTGTTGCCAAGGTGTGTTGATTTACCCCTTTGAGTTTTGTCACAAAATAATTGTACTCTGGTATTCAACTAAGTTGATTAGTACATGACTAATATGCTACTCAGTCTGATTTTGTCAGTCTAATGCATGTCAGGGAGCAACTTTTTACAGATAAACAGAACAAATGAAGGCAGAGGATTAATCCAGAACAGTTGATGGTTTTGTCTCCATTATAAGTTGTACAATTCTAACACATTAATGATTTGATACCATTTTGCTTTAGTTGACTTATTTTTTTCATTTTGAGATTATCTGTTTTGCATAGCCTATGTTTGTTAAAATGTCTGTGTGGGGTTATGCCATTGTGTTTGTAAGGGTAGGGATGGTTAATTTTGTACGATTGGTTGCATGTTTTGAGTTGTTCGAATGCCTTGATTGGGTCTCAACTAAATTAGTGAAAGATAGGTTAAAGTATAATTGTCAAGTTCATGGGTTTTTGTTTGTTGGAAGAACTGTTGAGGTGAAGTGAAAGCTATACATGTTCTTTGGATTTTTCTGGGTTCTGAAGTATTGTTGCTTAGAAGAATGGAGTAACTTTCTGCTTGGTTTTTGACATTTTTAGGGGTGTTGTCACAATTTGGGTAATGGTTTTTATCTAGAGTATTTATGCTCTTCAAAATAAAGTTTTAGCTTACTAATTATGCACTTTGAAATCATGTTTGGATGTCCACAATGAAAGTAATTATCAATTTTATAAAATCTAGATTAGGATAAACTTTTAGCTTTCTAAAAGCAAATATTCATGTGATGATTTTGTTTAGCCTACCAAAAGTAATTGATATTTCTCCTGCTTATGCAAAATTATTGCAAGGGGGCAATAATCTTGCTCGCAATTAGGAGCAAAATAAAATACAAATTAGCATGATCCTGTAGAAATTAGAAGATGTATATTCATAGTGGAATGAAGATGTATGCTTAAGCTTTATGAGTAGTTTATCTAGCCTTGATCTAATGGTTGTTTAATAATAGCCCGTGATACTTCAAGCTGCTTCTCAAGTGGCTTTCTAGCATTTGAATATTAAGTTTCTAATCAAGCAATCTCAAGGTTTAGCTTGAGGGTTGCTATCCATAGTAGTTGATATAAAAACATGCTTTAAAATTATCTATGAAAATATTTTTGAGCAACAATCCAAGTTTCTTTGATTTCTATTGGTAACTTAAATTATGCTGTATCTAATATGATTACATAATCTAAATGCTCAAAGATGTTAGATTCCTCACATCTCATATAATGATACTTAGCTTAATATTTGATATATGATATATTATGGACCTGTAATATTTCTAATTAATATTTTATTTATGATCAAGAAGAGATTTTGATCTAGCATCTTCATTTTCTTGATAACTTTCTTTTTCAGCTGTTATGACCTTTTTGTTTTTTCATATCTTCATAGGCGGCCTTACCATAACAATCAGATAATTTTAAAAGATGTTGTTCGTCAAGAATTTACAATTGCTCTCTCTACGATATGCTGCAGTTTGTAGGGACTCTGGGCTGCATATATGGAATTTACGGTTTGCAACATGGTTTGGTAATATATTCATTTCTTTGGGTCTTGATTTTATTTGATTTTCATTTTTGAAATTAAAAGGATTGTAAAAATAGATTTTCTCTTATTTCCATCGCTTTTTCCAGTAAAATCACTTACCAACGAAACATTTAAAATTTATGTCTTAACAAGTTTTATTAAAGAATTGAAATCAACCCAAGGCCACTACAAGAATCATGACATGCGAGATTCGGAATATCTGCATTGTGTTAATAGATTATGGGAAAGAGAACTTGATGGAACTTGATGGAAGCTAAAAGCTTAAACCCAACTAGATTTTATGTTTTGTAGGCATTTAACTAGTTCATGTTATTTTTTTTCAGTATCTTTTGTATTTTTAAACACATGAAGTTTTTATTTTTGTTAATGGTAAAGTTGTGGATTTAAATGAAGCAGATTCTATTATGAAATTACCAAATGATACACCTATTGAAGGAGGTACTAGTTTAGGCGCTGAAGCCAATACAGGAGGCAGGAGATATCAATTCATTTGCGAGTCAAGAAGATTTTGGAGCTTTAGGTTTGACAAACTTCTTCCTCCCAAAGGCTTACCTATCGGATTTTCTCTTTTTAGGTTGTCTTTTCAGTGAATGGTTCAATCATATACTTTACCTTTGTATTAAATATTTATTTTCTAAAAAAAATAAAAAAAAGAAGAAGAAGAAGAAGTCATGGTACTCCTACAAGAACCTCATCCACAATAGATCAAAAGAAGAAAAACAAGGGTCATCCCCAATGTGTGAAAGACCATATGATGCAATATATATATATATATTTAGTATATTACGTGATGAATTATACAATAAAAAATAATCTTTTTCTTCCCTTATCTCTCCTCACCCGTCTCATGGTTTGAATTCGAGATCTCCAACTTGATTTATAATGGTGGTGGTCAAGGTAGGTGGACTGGCACAAGGCTAAGGGTATGAGAGGTACAGGGGGTAAGGGCATGAGAGGAAGGGAGAGGCTAAGCCATAAATTTTATTTTTTGCATCTAGCTTTTTGGTATAATATGGATCAATAAAGAAAACATGGTGTCAAGACTAACTGTCGGAAGGGAAATGCAAAAGTCTCTCTATTGAATGATTACTGAAATGCCTAATTGGGTTTAATTTTAACAAGAACCTAACTAGCTTTCTTAGAGAACTCAGATCTGGTGAAATTAAATTCAAGATAAAAGATAGATGCACACCCCTTGATTTGGCCATCGATAAAGGGCATTTAAATGTCATCGACTGTTTACTAGAGGTTTCAACTTATTTTAAATACGCTTTAAACAAGCAAGCGAAAGTTGGTTTTGCAATCACCATCAATAAGGAGCACTTAGTTCTTTAGTATATGCTACATCTTGATAACATTCTAAATAAAGCTACAAGGGTTGAGGACTAGAACAAAATAGAAGGATGCATAAAAGAAAGGGCTAAGGTGAACAGGTTTTACAAGAACTTAAATTTGGTTCTTTTTATCTAGATTGTGTTGTCGATCTAGAGAAAGTGTTAGTGACGACTCAAACCACTTGAATAGCCATAATAAACAAAAACTGGAATGCTTTACTAGCAATTAGATTGATTGAAGTCACTTTTAGAAAAATAGTTCATGATTGGTTTGTTGGTTTAAATGAAGAAGAAAGTAATACTATCATAAGTGAAAATCTTGCTTTGGATGAAGTAAATGAAAACAAAGCAATTCAAGACATAATAATTAGGTTCGAATTAGTTATAAGAAGAATTTTTAGGAGAAAATTGGAAAGAAAATCAAGAAAAGGAAGAAGCTAGAATTGGAAGAATAGTAGTTTGGAATCTGTAGAATTTAGAATTATATAATCTTTGAAAGCTAGATCAATACATTTGATAATTCCATAAATATTGTTATAAAACCTCAAATCATGGAATGGCTAAAGGTCTAAAGAATTGTTTTTTTAGAAAAATCCCTAATCCTTGTGGAATAAAGCTAGCAAAAGCTTATAGAACTTATGTAGAAGATAAAACCGATACTTTAGAACTAAGAATTTGGTTTACTAAAATCAAAATAAATCAGTGGTGTATCAAAACCTACAGCTATAACAAATTATGAAAAAATATGAAAAAGGGACTATGTTGCCCTAAAAATAGTGATCCAATCAAGTTAGGATGTAGTTATTCAAACTACAAGAAGTGTAATATCCCAAAATTTTCTCAAATTTTAGAATTTAAGTTAAGGACTTTTGTGGTAGAAATTATTATTTTTGGGCCTAATAGCTAAAATGCACAAACCTAAGGGGGTTAAAAGTGAAGTTTGGTGATAAAAGGGGTTGAGCTGACTTTCCTTTTCCCTCCCCTTGCCTTTTTGCGTGTTTTCCCCAACTCCTCACCAGAACCTTGCTTCCAAAATCCCTAGCTTGTGCCCAACCTCTTTTTTCGTTGAGAACCAGGTGAGAGTTGGCCTTTTTCTTTCTTCTCCTAGTAGAGGTTAGAGATTTATGAGTTTATGATTCTCAAATAATGATGAAAAACCCAGATCTTGCTGTTGTTATCCCCCAATTTTTTGGTCCATATTGAGTTCTTCAGCAATATACAGGGAGGCCGCCACTTTCCTGCACTTTTGGGTAAGAAATTAGCTACATTGCTCATCTTTACATTGTTGATTTGAATTGGGTTAACTCCAATCATTTAAGGTTTTCAATTTTGGGAGTGTTTCTATAGTTTCCTCCTTGATTTTGCCCATAATCAAGCACCAATAAAATCTGATTTCTTTATGCTGGAAAAATTCTAACGACATGACCTTGCTGTAGTATTTTGCCCATAACTCCTTCTGTAGTTATCAGATTAAGTCCATTTTTGATTCTATAGAAAGCTAAGAGATAGTCTACAACTTTTATGTTGGATGTTTAACCTAGTTAAACTATTTTCATGGTGAAAACTTTACTTCAA